CGTAATCGAATGAGTATTCAGAATTTATGAGTTTGGTCGGGTTCCGCGGTGCAAGCCCGTGGTTGACGTTTTGGGTTGACTTTTTGATTTTGATTAAAAATCTTAGCTTTATCATTTGGATTCAATTCCTATGACTTTTATTGATTATATTAAGTTAATTTAGGCAGATTCGGGTCATCCGGAGGTTGATACACGCGGGAAGGGCTTGTTACATGAGTGATTTGGCTTGCTTGAGGTAAGTATCTTACCTAAACTTGGTTGAGGCAATTATTGCATAAATTATTTGTGAAAGCTACGTGTTATGAGTGGCGCGTATGTGTGGGGTTGAGCCCATTGCATGCACCAGGTTACTATTTTCATGCTCGAGGTAGTGTTTAGGCTATGACATGCCTTGAATGGATTGTTAAGCTTCAAGCTATGATGGTTCTCCTATTTGTACCCCTCTGTGAGTTATTTGTACCACATCTGAGATTGTTGAGTTTATTCTCCCAATTGAACTCGATAAACTGCTAATTGATGATGAAATTGTATGTTCTAGCTGTGATAGCACACATTACATATGCCTACACTATAGCATGTTATTTATACTAGTCCAGGAATATGAATCTTGATAATCATTGATCATGTACATGTATTCTCATATATTTTCTCCATGTGTGTTATGAGCTCAACTGGTAGCATGTGTCCATGCCGAGCGGATTGTGATTATTGGCACGTGAGTTATCCATAGATCACGTGATTCGTCCGTGTGGATCCAGATATTTATATTATTTACACGTGAGTTGTCCGTATAGCACATGAGTTGTCTGTGCGGTTGATATTATTAGCACATGAGATATCTGTGCAGCATGTGGATATGGATCCATCCCCCTAGGGTCACCCTCTCATGTTTATCTCTTGATGGTGTACATGCGGATTTGAGAAAATTGATCAGAGGTTTGGTACGGATATATAATTGTTGAGAAAAATCTGGCAATGTCTACTTGGATTTTGCATTTTATCTATACTTGCAATTTCCGTGGTTACTTACCTGATTCATTTGCATAACATCCTCCATCAAAGGAAGACAGTTAAAATCCAGAATCAAGGGATCTGATTTGATTTATCAAATAACGGAAAGACCTGCTTAGCAAAGGAAAAGTCCAATCAAGACCACAAGTTGAGGCAAATCAACAGAAGTAACATCTTATTCTTGGAAAGAATCACTCTACGATTCCTTTCAAGGATCAACTCCCTTGTGTTTGCAATATCTCAAGATTCACGTCAATCAAGAGACAAGAAAGCCTCACAGATTTTATATATATATATATATATATATATGTGTGTGTGTGTGTGTGTGTGTGTGTGTATGTGTGTGTGTACCAGTCTTGAAGCTATATACTTTGATCATACCAACTTCTTACTCTTTGTTCTATTTTAAACAAGCATTATAATATTAGTAAAGTTTACTGTGTAATCAGTAGAGTGAAGAAAGAGATAAAAACATCGGTAAGGCATTGTATCAAAAATATCACGAGCGTACTTAGATTCAAAAGTGAGTTGGTGTTCGGAGATAACATCAATACAATTGTACGAAATTATTCAAACAGCTTTGAAGAGAGAACACCCTTGCAACCAAAGGGGACTGGAGTAGGATTCACATTGAATCCGAACCAGTATAAAAATCTGGATGTCTTTAATTCCTGCATTTTACTTCTACTTTCAGTTATATTCTGTTTTTACTATCAATAAACTAATTGGTAAACTAGTCAACTACTTAGTATACAAAAAGAAATATTGACAATTCACCCCTCTCTTGTACTTTCAATTGGTATTATAGCAGGTCTCACATATTTATATTTTGCTTAATAGCTAGTGATAAAAGATCATGTCAAACCAAGTAACTATTGGATCACTCTTTCAAGAAGAGACATCGTAAGTAAGGTCACCATATTTCCATGCACATCACTTCTCTCATTGGAAGGTGCGCATGGAAATATATGCAAAGTCCTATGATGTCAAAGTATGGCGTATTATCAAAAAGGGAAACTATCCACTTCCAGCTGCAGGACAACCACCCGTTGATCCTAAATATATAGATGACTACTCTGACGAGCAAATGGTTGTTGTTCAAGTTAACGCTAAGGCACAAAACTTGCTCTATAATGCTATAAGTGGAGAAGAATATGAGAAAATTTCAAGTTGTGATACCTCCAAGGAAATGTTGGACAAACTAGAAGTTACCTATGATGGAACTAGAAAAGTGAAAGAAACACGAATAAACCTGTTGGTTCACGATTATGAACTCTTCCACATGAATGAAGGTGAATCCATTGAAGAAAAAATATTTGCACGATTCAGCAAAATCATTAGCGATTTGAAAGTCTTTGGTAGACCTTATTCAAGTGGTGAGCAGGTTAAAAAAATCCTAAGAATTTTGCCTACCACATGACAGACAAAAGTAGTTGCACTTGAATCTCATGATTAGAAAAATTGTCATATGATGAACTACGTGGAGATCTCATAGCATTTGAGAAAACACATCTCAAGAAAAAGCGTCAGCAAGAGAAGAAAAAAATAGTTGCCTTCAAAACTACAACTGAAGGATCTGAGAACGATATTGATGATGACGCAGAAGCTCTTAAAGAAGAAATTGCCATGGTTTCGAGAAATATGAATGGATTGATGAGAAGATACATAAACAAAAAAAGGGAAGGATTTCATCTAGAAGAACCAGACAATACAATGAACAAGACAAAAATGATGTAAAATGTTTTGAATATAGAAGGTATGTCCATGTTCAAGCTAAATGCCCGGATCTTAAAAGAAAAGTCTCCATAGGGTTCAATAAAAACAAATCAATCGAAAGCTGGAGCGATGAAGATACCTCAGAACATGAAGAAATAGCAAACTTGTGTTTCATGACTATTTTGGAAAGTGATATGAACAAATATTCTGGTTGCTAGACTGATGAAGATGTATCAGACGATGACTGCAAAGAAGATACTGAAAATTGCTTCATGGCACGAGGTGAAACAACTGAGGTAAGACCCTATAACTGTGATAGATGTAACGAATTGTGGGATATTTTTTATCTTACCCTAAAAGAGTCTCAAAATATGTTAAATGAATTAAAGAGACTCAATAGGAAAAAGAAGGACCGCAAACTCAAACTTGAAGTCTGTGAAATTGAAAGAGAAGTTCTTCAAGATGAGATTTAGGAATTGCATTTGCAACTTAATGGCATGAGAAAATCCACCAATCACAGTTCTATCAAGTCTAACCAAGCGACTTACAATTAAACTGGGAAAAGACTTGTTAGAACTAAGTCCACAAATACTGACACCAGTGGTAGATCAAAACCTGGATCAATCAATGTGTGCCATTACTGTAACAAGGTTGGGCATAAATATTCTTTCTATAGATTTCATAAATCTTATATTTCAGGATGGATTTGGAAATTCAAAAACAGCCCTGATCCTAGTAGAACTAACCAACAAGGACCAAGCAAGCATGGGAACCTAAAAGAATGTGATAATTCTATTTTGCAGGAACACCATAGAAAGATTAGTAAAGGGAAATGGTATTTTGATAGTGCATGTTCCATTCACATGACGGGTGACAAATATCAGATCAAACAAAGTCACAAAAATAAATGGAGGAAATGTCAAATTTGGTGATGATTCAAAAGAAAAGATCATTGGTACCGGCACAGTTCCATTGAGCAATAACTGTGATATTACAGAAATATGCCTTGTGGATGGACTCAACTATAATCTCTTGAGCATAAGTCAACTATGTGGTTCTGGATATGAAGTTAAATTCAAAAAAGCAGGGTGTGCCATTGAAGATGAGTCAGGTAAAATCATTCTGCTAGGAAAAAGGTATGAAAATGTATACATTCTAGACGGCATTGAAAACCTAGATGATCATATTTATTTGGAATCCATATATGATGATCCATGGCTATGGGATAAAAAAGTTCGCCATGCAAGCATGCATTTAATTGAAAAACTCTCCAAACATGATCTAGTTATTGGCCTTCCCAAACTCATTTTTTCTTGAAATCTTGTATGTGATGCATGCCAGCTTGGCAAACAAACCAGAAACTCTTTCAAACCCAAAGACATTGTGTCCACAACCAAACCCCTACAATTACTTCACATGGACTTGTTTGGACCTACTAGAACTGCTAGCATTGGAGGTAAACGATATGCTTTTGTTATTGTTGATGATTACTCACACTTTACATGGGTAATTTTCTTATCTCATAAAGATGAAGATTTGAAATATTTTGAGATTTTATGCAAAACAATTGAAAGAGAAAAGGGGTACCTCATCTCAACCATACAAAGTGACCATGAGGGAGAATTTGAAAGTAGAACCTTTGAAGAATTCAGCAATGATCAAGGATATACTCATAATTTTTCAGCTCCAAGATCACCCCAACAGAATGGGGTAGTTGAACGCAAGAATAGAACTCTGCAAGATATGGCCAGAACAATGATATTAGAACATTCATGGCCAAATTATTTTTGGGCAGAAACAGTAAGCACAACATGTCACATCCTCAATAGATGTCTCATAAGACCCATCCGGAAGAAGACTCCATATGAACTATGGAAAGGTAAAAGGCCTAATATAGGCTACTTTTATCCGTTCGGAAGTAAATGTTTTGATACACAACAATGGTAAGGATAGCCTTGGAAAGTTTGATCCAAGGAGTGATGAAGGTATTTTTCTCAATTATTCTATTAACAGTAGATCTTTTAGAGTTTACAACAAATGTACTTTATCTGAAGAAGAATTAGTGCATGTTATATTTGATGACAATAAAACTATGGCCGAGAAAGGAATCATTGCAGGTAATGAAGATATCGGTCAAGAAGCATCACAGACAAACAAGTCATAGAAGTCGACTGATAGTACAACCATAGTCACAGAGTCGACTAGTGAACCTGTTAGTAACCATATTAAACCACAAAAGGAGTCAACTACTCCAGTAGTTGGAACACGGCCAAATGAATGGAGAAGTGAACCAGAATCAGAAGTTTATCATATGGGATCAAAATGAAGGAATGAAAATCATGGGAGCCCTCAAGAAAAAGGCAAACATTGCACTTATTTCTCAAATCGAGCAAAAGAATATTGATGAAGCCTTAAAATACTCAAGCTGGGTACAAGCTATGCAGGATGAACTTGATCAATTCGACATGAATCAAGTCTGGGAACTGGTACCTAAGCCAGCAAATGCTATTGTTCTTGGAACCAAATATGTGTTCAGAAACAAGTTAAATGAAAATGGAAAGGTAGTCAGAAATAAATCCAGATTAGTAGCTTAAGGCTAATCACAGCAGGAAGAAGTCGACTAGGATGAAACATTTGCTCCGGTAGCACACTAAAGCTCGCTATGGATTCAAGCAAGCCCCTTGAGCTTGGTATGAAAGACTGAGTTCCTTCATAGCTGATCATAGGTTCCCCAGAGATAAGGTAAATACTACTTTAATCATCAAAAGATCTACTGAAGGTAATCTCATTATCCAGATCTACGTAGATGATATTATTTTTGGTAGCACTAATCTTCTTTTGTGCAAGGATTTATCAAATCTCATGCAGAGTGAGTTCGAAATGAGTATGATGGGAGAACTCATATTTTTTCTTGGACCCCAAATTCATCAATCAGAAGATGGCATATTCATATGCCATACCAAATATACAAAGGAACTAATTCAAAAGTTTGGAATGAGCAATGCCAAAGCAATTGGAACTCATATGAGTCCCTCTATAAGTCTAGACAAGGATGAAAAGGGAAACTCAGTGGACGAGACTACGTATCATGGAATGATTGGATATTTATTATACCTAACCGCTAATCGACCAGATATCATATTTAGTATTTGTAAATGTGCCAGGTTTCAGTCAGCTCCTAAGGAGTCACACTTAATGGCAGTAAAGCGAATAATTCGCTATCTTATTAGAACCACTTCTTATGGACTATGGTATCCACATTCTAACAATTTAAAACTTGAAGGATTTTCAAATGCTGATCTTGCAGGTGACAAAGAAGACAGGAAAAGTACAAGTGAAACTTGTCAATTACTGTGAAAGGCATTAATTTTCTCGAACAGTAAGAAATAGGGATCAGTAGCTCTTTCTACAACTGAAGAATAATACATTGCAATTGGACAATGTTGTGCTCAATTACTCTCGATGTCACATCAATTGGGTCACTATGAATTATCCTTTAAACCTATTCAAATATTTTGTGATAATTCTAGTGTTATATGTTTATCTAAAAATCCTGTGCATCATACTAGAGCTAAGCCTATAGATATAAAGCATCATTTGATTAGAGTCCATGTCCTTAAATGAAACATAGAATTATTGTTTATAAGTTCTATTGATCAATTGGCGGGTATTTTTACAAAACCCTTGCTTGAGGACATATTTTATGCATTACGAGACTCTCTTGGCATTATTCCTATTAATTCAAAATTTTAGGACCTTTGTGATAATTTTTATTTTGTCATCTCTTAATATGTGTGTTTCCTTATGTGTGTAAGTAGCATTAATTATGTGTCTCTTACTTTTCCTTTTTCACGTCTTCTCAATAACTTTTCAGAGGGTAGTCAACAATCGCGTCGAATCACTGACACCCTTTCCTTCTGTACTCAACCGTCAGTTTTCACCGTTTTAAGTCTAGTTTCATCCACAAAATTCCCGCACATTGTTTGTATCTCCAAATCTTTGTTCTCAACCCTAAAATGGGGAACAATTCCAAAAATCCTTTTGCCTCAACCCGCAAAAGCACTCGTTCCCGAGCAAAACCCTCTTCTCAACCCCCTGAACCAGTCAATCTAGGATCAGACCACTTTGAGGATTTTGCCTCTTCTCAGGACCTCTCAGATGATGCGCGTAGCCTCAATGAAAAAGCCCTAGGGAAACGACCTATGGAAGATATCCCTGAAACCTTCACACCCAAAAAGCCCAAAATTGACCTCTCATGTTCTCTCAAATCAGACCTCAATATTTGGGACACACCCAACGGGGACTCCTTCATAGCCTTCAAAGACAAACCTATAACCTATGGCAGAGTCATTGATCTAAGTGCCATGGAGAGCGTCAACTGCAAGGTCAAGGAACTCTTCGACTTCAAGAGGTGGAAAAACTTTCTTTGCTTGCATCCTCCAAAGGTATACGAATCCCTTGTTAAAATGTTCTATGCTAATCTTCGCTTTAACAAACTTGACAGATTAGAGTTCTTAGTTCTTGGCAAGCGCATTATGTTGGATTTTACTCTGTTTGACTCTATTTTTCAGTGTAAGTGTTTATGGTTTCTATATGTTGTTTAAGAATACCTGGCCTGAGAATTTTGAGATTTCTTTTGATCAAGCAAAAAGGTGTATAACTGAGTCACCCTCTAAATCCCTTCCCAGTCAATTAGGACCTAGTGATATCTGTTTCGAAACTAGCGTCCTAGCATATATTGTGGCAACCACTCTTCTCCCAAGAACATGATCCTTCTTTACCTTTTCCCAATATGATACCTTCCTAGTGTACTGTCTTCTAACTAAGCATAAGGTCAAACTGTCTTCTTAGGTCATCAATTTCATAATAGAGAGTGTCGATGATCCTATGAGGCTTCCCTATGGTATGGTCATTACCCATCTATTAGAAGCCCACAACATATGTCTTGCCAAATATCCCTATGTCACTGTTACTAAGTCATATAACTCCAGAGCATTTGCTAGAATGGGTTACATTGTTGTGAAAGGGACTTGGGTAAAGAAGCAAGGTGGTGAAGTCAGGAATGATCCTACAGACTCAAAAGCAAAAGCCTATATGTCTCTCACCAGTGCAGGTGATCCCGATCTCTTGGAAAAGTTAACCTCCACCAATGACAAATTGATTGTCATCAAGGATTCTCTAACCTCTATGCAAAGCACAATTGAAGATGTCCATGGAGTGTCAAAGGAGACAGGCTCTGATGTGTCCAAGATAAGGTTGCAGATTCTCAAGACAACAGAGAATGCAATAAAGGCTTTTAAGGTGGTGCGCGACAGGATTGATGGAATCTCAGTCACAGTTAATGCAAGCTTTGAACGCCTCAAAGAGGCTATCTGCAATACTCTTACCTACTTTCAGCGCCGTTGATGCATGGTTGTTTAAAATAATTTCTTTTTGCTTCTTTTGGGACTACTATTTCAGTTATAGGTTGTACTGTTAAGACAATCACTTACTTTTGCTCTTGCATGCTAAATTAGATAACTATAGACTAATAATATGCTTCACCTTATATGCTCTTACATGCTGAATTAGACTAACTTTTTGCTGATGCCAAGGAGAAATTCGTGCTTCAGTCCCACAGAGAGGAGCTGCGCAAGCAGTTTGAGAAGATTCATCAGGGTTATATGTCTGTGACGTAGTATGAGATGAGGTTTTCTGAATTGCCCCAATATGTAGTCTGGTTGATTCCCACCGATAGGGAGAGGATCAAGAGGTTCAGTGATGGCCTCACATTTCAGCTGCGGTTGCTTATAGTCCATAGCCAGGAGCGGATTGAGAGGGAGGCCAAGAGGTCTCGGGGACAGGGTGGATTCAACGGTGCTCCTTCTGGGTGTCAGTTCTACCACGGCAGGGGTCGTCCTCATAGGCATGCTCAGACGGTTCGCCCAATTTACCGTACTGCACCATCTGGCCATGGTTCACATAGTTATCAGTAGGGTCACTTATCTCTCAATGCCCTTCCATCTTAGAGTTTGACCCATGCTCCATCGGGTCAGGGCTCGTCTATGCTAGGTCCTTCTACCAGTTATCCCGGTGCTCGGGGCTCCCTCTAGTCTCCACCACCAGCACCGGGGAGTTGCTATGAGTGTGGAGAGTTTGTCCATATTAGGAGATATTGTACCCCTCCCCCCTTATGGGAGGTCCAGCTTAGTAGAGGAGTCAGACTATGGCTTCAACACCAGTTACTTCACCACCCGCGTAGCCAGCTCAAGGTGGGGCCTAGTCAACTAGAGGTCGCCCTAGAGGGGGAGGCCTATCAGGTGGCGGTCAGGCCCGATTCTATGCTCTTCCCGCCAGACCAGATGCATTGCTTCCGATGCAGTGACCATGTGTATTGTCTCACTCTGCCACATGGATGCCTCTGTATTATTTGACCCTTGTTCCACCTATTCATACGTGTCATCGTACTTTTCCCATTATATGGATACGCCCCGTGAGTCTCTAGTTTCATTTGTTCATATATCTACACCGGTAGGAGATACTATTGTTGTGGACCGGGTATACCGCTCATGTGTAGTGACTATTGGGGGATTTGAGACTAGAGTTGGCCTCTTGTTACAGTCGTATGGTTGATTTCGATGTGATCTTGGGTATGGACTGGTTTTCCCCATGTCATGTTGTTCTGGATTTCCATGCTATAACCGTGACATTGGCTATGTCGGGGTTGCAACAAATTGAGTGGCAAGGCTCTCTAGACTACGTTCCCAGTAGAGTGATTTCATACTTGAAGGCTTAGCGAATGGTTGAGAAGGGTTGTCTATCTTATTTGGCCTTTGTGAGGGATGTTAGTACAGAGACCCCTGCTATTGATTTTGTTCCGGTGGTGTGAGATTTCACGGATGTGTTTCCTGCAGACCTGCTGGGCATGCCACCCGACAGGGACATTGACTTTGGCATTGACTTGGTGCCGGGCACTTAGCCCATTTCTATTCCTCCGTACCGTATGGCTCCAGCTGAGTTGAAGGATCTGAAGGAGCAGCTTTAGTAACTCCTTGATAAGGGGTTTATTAGGCCTAGTGCGTCACCTTGGGGGGCACATGTTCTATTTGTGAAGAAGAAGGATGGTACTATGAGAATGTGCATCGATTATAGGCAGTTGAACAAGGTCACAATCAAGAACAAGTATCCTTTGTCACGCATTGATGACCTATTTGACCAGCTTCAGGGAGCGAGGGTGTTCTCCAAGATTGATTTGAGGTCTGGGTATCACCAGTTGAAGATTCGGGACTCGGATATTCGTAAGACATCTTTCAGGACCCATTATGGCCATTATGAGTTCCTTGTGATGTCCTTTGGGATAACCAAGGCCTCAGCAACATTCATGCATCTGATGAACATTGTATTTCAACATTATCTTGACTCGTTTGTTATTGTGTCATTGACGGTATCCTGGTGTACTCTCGTAGTCAAGAGGAGCATGCCTAACATTTGAGGGTTGTGTTATAGGGGTTGAGGGAGGATAAGATTTATGCCAAGTTCTCCAAGTGTGAGTTTTGGCTCAGCTCAGTGGCATTCTTGGGACCCGCGGTGTCCAGTGAGGGAATTCAGGTAGATCTGAAAAAGATAGAGGCAGTTCAGAGTTGGCCCAGGCTGTCCTTAGCTACGGAGATTCGGAGCTTTCTTGGCTTGGCTGGTTATTATTGTCGCTTTGTGGACGGTTTCTCATCTATTGCATCACCCTTGACCAAATTGACCCAAAAGGGTGCTCCTTTCTGGTGGACGGATGAGTGTGAGGATAGCTTTCAGAAGCTCAAGACTGCCTTAACCACATTTCCAGTTCTAGTTTTGCCGTCAGTTTCAGGCTCTTATACACTGTATTGTGATGCTTCTCGGATCGGCATTGGGTGTGTGTTGATGCAGGAGGGTAGAGTGATTACTTATGCTTCGCGCCAGTTGAAGCCTCATGAGAAGAACTACCTTGTTCATGATTTGGAGCTAGCTGCCATCGTTCATGCATTTAAGATTTGGAGTCATTATCTCTACGGTGTGTCTTTGAGGTGTTTACGGATCATCGGAGCCTCCAACACTTGTTCAAATAGAAGGATATCAATCTAAGGCAGCGGAGATGGTTGGAGCTGCTAAATGACTATGACATCACTATTCTGTATCATCCAGGGAAGGCCAATGTGGTGGCGGATGCCTTGAGTTGGAAGGCGGTGAGTATGGGTAGTCTTGCTTTTCTTCCCGTTGGTGAGAGACCTCTTGTAGTTGATGTTCAAGATTTGGCCAACCGGTTCGTGATATTGGATATTTCAGAGCCCAATCGGGCTCTCGCTTGTGTGGTTTCTCGTTCTTCCTTATTTGATCGCATCAGAGAG